CCTACAGCTTTTCCTCCAAAGCCCCACGACGTGGAAATCACTATAACTCCAGAGCCCAATGTCAAGGTTGAACATTCTACAGCTTTTCCTCTAAATCCCCATGAGGTAACACTTCTACGTCCTCACCAGGGGACTACAAATCCTCCTCCAAAACCCCCAGAGACAACATTTCCACATCTAGAGCTGGAAACTACAAATCTTCCTCCAGAGCCCCCTGATGTGACATTTCCACGTCCATACCAAGAGACTACAAATCCTCAAATCAACCACGAGGAAACTTCAGTCATGCCTCAAAATTTTGAAGTGGAAATTACCATAACTTCAAAACCCAACATTGATGTTGCGTCTTCTCAAACCTTGCCGGGGAAGCCAATTCAGCTTCCAGAGCCATATAAAGAGATTATAGCGAAACCTCCTGTATATTATGAGATTACACTTCCAACAATAAGTACAGCTCTGGTGTCGGAGTCATCTAGTGTTGGAGTTCAACCTCCAGACGTGACAATTACCCTGACTGCACTACCCAGTGTGGCAACTGAAAGTTCTACAACTCCTACAACTCTTTCAACAACTGAAACAACTTCACAGCAAACAAATATGACTGAATTCACAATTCCACAAGTGGAGCCAGACCAAACCACAACTCATTTCCCCGAAATTTATGCCACAGAAAAGGAAGAAAATGTCACCAAGAACACTAATATATGTGAGCTCTGTACCTGCCAAGATGAGACACTGTTGTGTGTTGGTCTCGCCCCAATGCAGAAACTCCACCGAGTGCCTGTGCTAGAGCCCTACAGCTACAATGGCACCTTCACAGTCTTGTAAGAATCACCTTTCCTCATTTGTGCTCTGCATTCTGCCTACCCTTTTCCTCAAGCGTCTCCTGGGCCTTTCTCATCTCCCCAACCCACATTGATTGACTTTTTGCTTTTAGTTTTTGCTTGTCAACTTCTTCATATCCTCTTTTTCCTTCTTACTGTTGTGCCCTTTCTCCAGTCTTTCACTTGTGATCATCCTTTATTTTCTTACCCATTTTTATTTAGCCCCATCATATCATTGCTTAAGCTTTACCATTTTGTTCCATCTGCTTTACAACTCATTAATGATGATACAACCAAGTGGTTAAGAGTAGATTCTAGAATAAGACTTTGAACCCACATCTTTCATTTATTAGCGTTGTGACCTTGGGCAAAAAAGCTCTATGTCTCAGTTTCCTTATTTGGAAAATGGGGATTATGATAGTTACCGGTTCATAAGATTGTTGTGAAATTTAGATGAGAGAGTGCCCTAATACTCATGTCGATGCCTATCATATATGAATACTAGCTGTTAATATTATTATTCAGTCCCTCAATTATGTCCAGAATTCATCTTAGCCTTGGCTTTCATATAACATCCATTTTGTGCCCAACTGAGGGCTAAGTACTATGGGAGCCACAGAAATATGACATTGTTTACAGAACACAAACATGATAGGAAGAAGACTAAAAATGGAGATGATATACAATTAAGTACTAAAAGAGGATGCAGACCACATGTGCTGTAATTCTTCAGAATCTTTCATTACTGAAGTATGGATGTTGGGAAAGCTGTACAGATAGGCTTAAATGTTACCTGGTGCTTGAAAGTGGCTATAAGAAAAAAACAGGAAGTATATCTACACAAAGGAATGGCTGCAAGAATGACCAGGATTTGGTAGACTAGTAGGCCTACAAAGTATTGGGTTAGAATCAATGAAAGGTAATATGAAAAATCCTAAATATCAACTATAGATGTTTGAAAGTTACACAGTGAGAAATGAAGAGCCACTGAAAGTTTTCAAGCAAGAGATAAAAATAACTAAAACAGGAAGATAATTTTATAATCCATTTTTAGAGTGATCTAGAAGAGAAAGCTTAATTCAATGGGGCCACCTATAAAACTTTAGCAAAATCTATGAGTAAAGCAAGAAGGAGCTTAATCAGAGTGGTTGTGATAGAGTAGAAAGAAAATCCTGGAAGCGCAAGGGGGAGTGAGGGAAGGAGGAGGGAATGGGAATGGGAAAAACAATAGAATGAATCAGATATAACATTCCTATGTTCATATATGAATACACAAGTAGTGTAACTCCACGTCATGTACAACCACAAGAATGGGAAGTTATACTCCATGTGTGTATGTCAAAATACATTCTACTGCCATAACTAAAAAGGACAAATAAAAGAACAAAAAATCAAATTCCATCAATTTATTCTGTTTGATAACAAATAAAAATGCCAGGTTTTAAAAGTAAGATATTAAAAATATTTTAGGGTATGACTTTAGTCTGTTAAAAGGAAAAAAAATCCTGGGAGCTTTAGAAGAATAACAAATGCTTAAATGATTGACTAAAAGATTTAGGGGATGAGGTGTACAGAAAAGACAAAAATAAAATATGGCTCCACGAGTTTTGTCCTGGATAAAAAATGAGAATGCTGGTGATGTAGCAGGTGGAAAACAACACCAGGAAGGAAAGCCAGTTGGAGAGAAATGAGTTCACTCTTAGCTGTTTCTTAGTGGGGAACATAAAGCCCTCAGAAGGCTTCTGGTTGAGTGGAAATGTCCACTAGGCCTTTGTCCACTAGATGAGCAGGTTTATCCTCCAATCTCAAACGCCAAGAAAAAGTCTAGGTAAAGATGTATAAACAGAAAAGTTATTGCTAAGGGATAAGGACAGAGTTTAAAAAAAAAAAGTTGAAGGTATCTGCAGAGTTGAAACTGAACATTTAACAGCTTCTTTAAACATGTCATTCATAGATACATTCTCACTTTTTTTTAAAAAAAGTCAACAGAAGTACATTGGATCAAAGTGAAAATCTATACCTCTATCCTTTTTCATCCCTTGTCCATGCCCTACCACCCATAAGATGACCCCTGTTACATATTGGTGTGTGTCTTTCTTTCTGCTTTCTCTTTCTATGCATAATTTTCCCTGATGAAGTTTAAAAAAGAAAAAAAACACTATGATTCATGCTTGTTTTCTATGCAACATGTTCAAGAGATATTTCCACATCAGCACACAATTAGAATCACATCTGTGATTTCTAATTGTCCTTATCCTCCTAATACCTGGAGATATTTCAACAGAGGGCACTTAGGCAAAGCTTTGGTGTCACTTGCAATGTGTTTCTTAATTCATATTTGTTAATATGGTAAATTCTTGCCCATTTTTCTGTTGAAATTCGACAGATAGGAAGTTAAACTTCTGCTTTATCATTTGTTCCAGTGGCTCACATTATTATCTTATTGGGAAACCGGGAAGCTGATAGTTCTGAAAATTAGAAAGCTGGGTTTTTGTTTCGTTTGTTTTTTCTATATTTGAATGTTCTCCATGAGTTTTCCATGATTGTTTTACTTTTTCTGTTCATTTTTTCCCTACTTATTCAAAAGTATAAACTGTTTCTTCACAGGAATTTCCAAGGAAACGTTATTTCTTACATTGAAGAAAACATATGGAAATCCTACCGTTGGGCAGAGAAACTGTGAGTATATTCTCTCCAAACATGAATACAAAAAAAAAAATGCATTGTAAGATCCTTCTTAGTCTAGAATGTTGAGGTCAATACTGTTATAAAAAGGTTTTCCCCTCCATAAATCAATTCAGCCTGTGTTGAGTGAAATTTGGTAGTTATTTTAAAAATTAAATTTCATGGGGACTGGGTTTGTAGCTTAGTAGTAAGTAGAGTAATTGCCTAGCATGAGCGAGGACCTGGATTCCATCCCCAGGACCACAGCAAAAAAACAAATAAATAAAAATTCAATTTCATGGACCCTCTTTGAAGTAAGTAAAAAACAATTTAAATTTATTTTACATTTTGTAAGTAATACATAATTACATTCTTAATGAGTAAATATGAAATAACAGGTAGTAAGACCATCCCTGTGCTCTAACCCTCCACCCCTGAGGAAACCACTACTCTTGAGTTTGGTATATATACCCTTCTGGATCTTTCCCCATGCATTTGCCTACACACATATTTACATATAGCAAAATAGGTTTGTTGCATGGTTTTATTATCTTTTTTTACATAAATGGTAACATTCATGCAACTCGACTCTTTCACTTCATCATATGTCGGGTTTCTTTTTAGTACACAGAACCTACCCTACTCATTTGAACTCATCCATAATATTCCATAGTATGAACATATCATGATTTATTTAAAAATAATTCCCTTACTCATGGATGTTTAGAGTGTATATGGTTTTCCTGTTTACATGCATAATGTCAATAAACATACTTCTTTGTGAACATGGGCATATAATTCTGTAGAATAAAAATGAGATTTTGGGGGGTGAAGACTATTGTAGATATGAAATTTTAGCTACCCGCAAAAAGGCTATGCCACCTTATACTCCTGGCAAGAGAATATGACAACATTCATTTTCTCATACTTTTTTTACCACTGGATATTCTCCATCTTTGTGCTGAATTTTGGTCCAGAAATAACCTTTTCATCTTTCAGAATTCTCAGTGAAAATTCCCTGACTGAATTACACAAAGATTCCTTTGAAGGCCTGCTATCCCTCCAGTATTTGTAAGTTAGTTAATCATATTTATCTGTGAGTTATGGGTTATCTAATAAATAAGGGGTTCATATTAGATAATCTGTAAAATCTCTTCCAGCAATTAAATTCTGTGATTGTGTAAGTTTGTATAGATTTTAACCCATCTCCAGCATTAAATACCTCCTAAGCATTTTTAGTTTTAAAAATTATATAGTCAAGATGCGGATGGGAAAAAAAACTCCACTTATAGTGGAAAAGTGGTAATAAGATCAGAGCAATTACTAACACTCATATGAACCTTGTTTTATAAGTGTTTACATGTATTTATATCTAGTTTACAGCCCATGGATCAAAACTAATCCACAGTCAATTTTTATACAGCTCATTAACTAAGAATTATTTTTACATTTTTAAAATGCTGTAAAATAAATAGGAAAGAATATGTAGCAGAGATCGTATGTGGCCTGCAAAATCTAAAATATTTACTATCTGGCCTTTGCAAATAAGGTTTTAAAAAGTTGGATTAGTAGAACATCGGGAATTAAAGTTAACCTCAGTTTGGTGCCTACAGGAGAGAAAAAAAATAGGCCACCTATATTCATTTGAATGCCATTAATTAGAATGTTTTAACAATTAAACTGAATTAAATTAATGCTTAAAGACTAAATAACTAGCCAGCATGATGGCCAGCATGATGGTGCACACCTGTAATCCCAGTGGCTCAGGAGGATGAGACAGGAGGATTGCAAGTTCAAAGCCAACGTCATCAAGGGCAAGGTGCTAAGCAACTCAGTGAGACCTTGTCTCTAAATAAAATACAAAATAGGGCTGGGGGTGTGGCTTAGTGGTTGAGTGCCCCTGAGTTCAATCCCTGGAACAACAAAAAAAGACTAAATAACTAAGTAAGTAAATTACATAATAATATTTTCAAGACTACTAAGCTACTGAAGAACATACCCAGTATTAAGGATTTCAATGCAGGAATTGACATACCTTCATTAAAAATAGATATTTGCCAAACACAGAAGTATAAAGAAGGTCAAGTGTCATATGTTTTCTCTCATGTGGGGACACTAGAGAGGAAAAAAGAAAAGAAAGATGTGGGTGAGGCTCATGAAAATCAAAAGTAGATCAGTAGAAAAAAAGGAAAGGAACCAAGGGGTGAGAAGAAGGGAGAGAAGGGGGAAGTGCTGGGGAATGATATCGGCCAAAGTTTATTGTTACATTGTGTGCATGTATGAATATGTAGCAACAAATCCCAGCATTATGTACAACTATAATACACCAATAAAAAATGTGAAAAAGTTGGGTATGGTGGTACATGCCTGTAATTCCAGCAGTTCAGGAGCCCGAGGCAGGAGGATTGCAAGTTCAAGCCCAGCCTCAGTAATTTAGCAAGGCTCTAATCAACTTAGTGAGACCCAATCTCAAAATAAAAAATTAAAAGGGCTGGGGATATGGCTCAGTTTTAAAGTGTCCCTGGGTTTAATCTCAGTATCCCCCTCCAGAAAATAGATATTTGAAATGATGGTTAAATGGTGTAGCTTGAAATGTTTACACTAAGTAAGCAGATCAGAAATGCCTATAACTTTTCATTAATCACAAAATTAAAATCTCTCTATTATTATTGTCAAGGAGGGAACACTTACATAGTATTTTTATCTGATTAAAGATAATTTAGGTTCTTTGCTGTGATAGCTTGATTTTTATCCTTTGTCTGTGGTATCTAGATATGTGTGGGTCATTAACCCTATTAAGCTAACTAATGATGTTTTTAGTAAATATATTCTTTTTTCAGATGTAGAAGGCTTAAAAGAAGTGAGTATAAAGAGCTTCACATGATACTAAAAGTAGTCCTTTGAATTATCAAACCTCCTAGGCCCTCAGAAACAACTGCTTTTGTATTGGTGGTTTTAGTCACTTTTGCCTCAAACAAACGTGGTTTGGAGAAAACAAATGAGATAACTGCTTAATGGAGTAGACTTTTCATTATTTTTACTATGTAAGACTTTGTTAGCTAATTATTTCATGTTAGCGTATATATTTGCATTTATTTCAAAAAAAAAACACTAATCAATAAAAAAGAGCTCAAAAGAATATGCCAAACACTGTTCCCTAGTATTGGAAGGACAAAGATGAGTAAGACAGGTTCCTCTTCTTTAGGAACTTAGGGGCTCACAGAGGAGACAAGGCTAAGCTCAAACCATAATTCAGCAAGTACCCAGTGGATGACAAAGTGCTAAAGAGGTGCAGCAGAAGGGCTAGCTGTGAAGTCACAAACTGCATTCCCTTTTAACTAGTCATTTTTGTCCCCCTCCTCACTCCCTAGATATTCATTTATTTTATAAATATTTTAGTTTCTCAAATACTTGTGTCAGTTTTAAACCTGGAGGGCAACACAGATGAGCAAGACCCAGTGCAGGCTTTCAAAGAGTTTGTATCAGAAGAAATGGGATACAAAAACAATTGAATTGAAAACAAATGGATATGGGCACTAAGAGGTATAAATTGTGTCTACAGCACAAAAGAGGAGAAAAGATTTCCAATTGGTTTAAGGAAAATGTTCCTACGGCAGTGCTGTTTCAACAGGACCTCGAAGGGCCTCACTGGGAATCATCAGATAGGCATCTTAGGGAAAATATACAAAGCTTACAAAGGGAGAATGGGAGAAAGGCAAAACACAGAAATGTGTTTGAGGAGTGCCATGGGCACCTGTAGGGCACAAGAGGGAGAATGGAACCCAACCTTCTAGGACTTTGAGTGCCAAGCAAAGGAGCCATGGTGGGGAACCATCTGCAGTGCTCTAAAACAACCTTGAGTCTCAGATTCACCTGGAGGACTTTGTAGAACTTGGTTCTGGATACCACCCTCATAGTTACTGATTCAGTCATTCTGGAGTAGGGCTGAGAATTTTGCATTCTTCAAAAGTTCCCAGGTAATACTGGTCTTTAAGAACCAATTCTAGACAGCCTAACTGGTGACTGAGTTTGGGATTGATTAGAAAGGGAGAGCCTAGAGTTGGAGACACCAGACATGACAGTTCTACCCATCCCGGTGAAAAGTGAGGAACAAGCTGAAATCTGTGGAAGTAAGAGAGTCAACTCTAATCAGAATGGGTGTTTTCAAATAAAAATCCAGTTCCATGTTGTTTTTCATTGTCCCAGCACTACACAACTGAAGCAGGTACTTCATGGAGTATTAAGGTAATATGAAACCAAAATGAGTTTCCATTAGTATGATAAAAAGTACAACTCTGAATTAGTTCAAATACATGTATTAATTAGAGGAGTAACTGTCTTTCAAATGATTTGAAAGGTATCTTTTCCTTCTAGTATTAAACTGGGTTAGAAAAATAGAATAAAGGACTAGGGGTATAGCTCAGTGTTAAAGTGCTTGCTTAGCATGCACAAGGCCCTGGGTTCAATCCCCTGTAACACACACACACACACACACACACACACACACACACACACACACATGCACGTGTGAAAGAAAAACCAAATTAAGCCAGGAACATGAGAATATTCCCTTTAATTTTAAAAATTACATGCAGAAATTAATACTTGTAGCTCATAATCTTGAACTTGATAAAACTGTAAAAGGTCACATAATAATTATCCTACTGTCAGGAAAGACTATCTCAAAACCTGTCAAGATATAAAGTTGTATATTTTACTTATGAAAGTGAGACTCAAGAGAAGAGTGGGCAGGGTTAAAAACTCTAAAAAATTAAAATATAAGTCCAAAGGTTTAGAATTTAAACAAAAACTAGGTATTCAATATTATCAATTCTGGATTCTATTTATTCATACTAATTAGATAGCTAATATCTAATCAAGGCAATATTTTCCTTTTACTTTTCCTAGAGATTTATCCTGCAATAAAATACAATCTATCGAAAGACGTACATTTGAACCACTACCTTTTTTGCAATTTATGTAAGTTAACTTGATGATATTTGAAATTTTATAAACCCCCTTGATACTCATTTGAAATTATGATTAAAATTTTATTAGTAAAAAGTTACTAAAGTTATATAGCAAATCTTTTTAGTATCTAGCAAAGATAAGTATGAGAATTATTATACATGGATTGAAATGAGTCATTACAGAGCAGTGGTTCAATTAGTGTGATTTTACACCCAGGTGACATTTTGGCATCTAATGGCCAGACACCAGGGATGCTGCTAAACATCTACAATATACAGGACAAAACTCCACAACAAGAATTTTCCAGCCCAAAATGTTAATAGCATTGAAGTTCTGAAGCCCTGTTTTAGAGAAGTAAATATCACAAGTATTTTTTGAGCATTCACTGTTTTATAGCTAAGGCTCTGCATGTATAAATGCAGAAATATAAGTCATAAGTCAGGATCTTCCACAGCAAGATTTCTTTAGTGTGTGGAAAAAGTATTGAGGTTACATTTCATCATATATAAGTTAGAATCACTGCCAAATGATAAATGTTCTGAAAGAATATCTTTTTTCTTCTCCTTCTTCTTTGGCTTTCTTTTTTGTAGAAACCTTGGTTGCAATTTACTCACAGAACTGGGCTTTGGAACATTTCAGGCATGGCATGGACTGCAGTTTTTACACAAGTTGTAAGTGAAATAGAAGATACACGCATGTACAAAAAAAACCCCAAAACTATGTGTTAAAAACGTTATACAGTTATTGGTTAGCTTGATGTAAGCCCTGTCTTATTCTGAGAAGTATGTCTTAAGATCCATTCATTCTTTTCAAATGAGGAAACTAAGGCACAGAGAAGCCAAGAGACTTGTAATTTATATAGGACATGCTCTGCTTTCCCTAGCACTGATCTCTGGCATAGATAATAGAAAGCATCATACAAGCAACACCCAAATTAGCATTGCCATGGTAGTCTCAGTGATGATGCTCTGACATGTGAATTGTCCTTGAATTTCATTTTTGAGTTTAACTCTGATTCAGTCTCACATTTAGAGTCCCTAACTGCTTAAATATATGCAACAGGGCTACAAAGAATGAAGTTCAGCATAAAGCCCTCCAGGGAGCACAGGTACAGGTGCTTTCTCAATGGAAAGCAGAAACGAATTGGCTCAGGGGACCTCTCTCCCCAATCACCCAGAGCATTATTTTTCTAAAAATACCTGCCTCTGAAGTCATGAATTGTATGTAGGCAGTAAGAATCTTTGAGGTGTGAGAAAGATGATGTTTATGATATAGTGTAAAAAACATTTGTAAAGAAAATACATTGCTCTGATCTAATTACATATACTTTCTTTCCTGACTACCCTCAACAAGAAGTATGGGTTTTATTTCCTTTCAGCTCAAAAGGAAATTTTATTTTTACTTATTTATTTGATTTGTTTTGGTTTTCGGTGCTGGGGATGGAACCCAGGGCCTTGGGCATTCTAGCCAAGCACTCTGGCACTGAGCAACATATACCCCTAACCCCTGAAAGGGATTTAAGTCTCAAGGTGAAAGTTCTCCCCTCAACTCAATTTTGGAAAAAATTGTTCACCTGTCTCGTGGATCAGAAATCCAGGTTCACATGGTTCATTTTGGGTTCCATGAAGGGATGGTTATGGTATGCCTGGAGCTGGATTAACTTTTCCTTCAGATGCTCATTTATTGCAGCCACCTCCTCCCCTTCATCAATTTGCTGAAGCCTAACTTGGGGAAAGAATATGGAGAGTCTACTTTTCAAACAAACAGGGATGGGTGGTGGGTCAGAAAAGACTCATAATGGAGGAGGCACCAACTTATCTCTAGTTTCTGTGTTCATCTGAACAGAAAAAGGCATTTGCTTCATGATGAGAACTCAGAGCCAACTGGCAATGGACATTAACACTCACATCATGCAATGCGAATGGAGCTCTGCCTCTCAGACCAATTCATAGTTGCTTTCATAGATTGGCACATTGAGCCAGACAAGGTGCACAGCTGTGGTCCCAGCCATTTGGGAGGCTAAGACAGGAGTTCAAGGCCAATCTGGGCAACATAGTAAGACCTGTCTCTTAAAAAAGAAGAAAAGAACTGGGCATAGTGACACACGCCTATAATCCCAGCAGCTAGGAGGCTGAGGCAGGTGGATTATGCATTTAAAGCCAGCCTCAGCAAGTTAGCAAAGTCCCTAATTAACTCAGTGAGACCTTGTCTCTAAATAAAATACAAAAAAGAGCTGGGGGGTGTGGCTCAGTGGTTAAGTGCCCCTGAGTTCAATCCCCAGTACCAAAAAGAGAGGGGGAAAAAAAAAAGATTGGCGCAATGGTCACGATTCACCAAGTGTGTATTGGGAGCTGAGCACTTTTGTTTTGGGTAAAATTTTTCAAATAGATAAAGCCATTTTGCTTCAGGAAACACTTGCCATAGTGAGAGATAAGCCTCTTAAATTTCTTTCCAAAGGCAACTTGCCAAGGGAAGATGCCGGTAATTTTATGATCAATATGAATGTACTGGGATGTTTATAAGTTAAAATACCAATTTTCCCTGAACTATAAAAGTTTGTTCAGAGGTCTCAGCTGATGTAGATATATCATGAATTGAATGGAACCTAAGCTCTGGGTCTCCTCCCTTGCACAGGTCTCTTCTAAGGTTCTGATTGGGGCCCTCGCAATTTCTTTTTCTTTTTCTTTTTCCTTTCCTTTTTTTTTTTTTTTTTTTTTTGTTGTTGTTGGTACTGGGGATTGAACTCAGGGGCCCTCAACTACTGAGCCACATCCCCACCCCTTTTTATATTTTATTTAGAGACAGGGTCTCACTGAGTTGTGTAGTGCCTCTCCATTGCCAAGGCTGGCTTTGAACCCGCGATCTTCCTCCTTCAGCCTCTCAAGCCACTGAGATTACAGGAGTGTGACACCATGCCCAGCCCTCCCAATTTTTATATACATAAATTTTGCATGTTTTTATCAGAGGTAATTTCCCAAATTAGATAAGTTTCAGGCCCCACAAAGTCTGGATTCACCTCTGGGTTCCATGTAATACAACCTGGTAAATATCTCAAATAAGGCCTTTCTATTATTGACAAACACTGATGCAACAACTTAGCAGTATGTTAGACTATTTTGAACCTGAAAAAAGATGTGCCAAGAGCTTATTAGTAAAGTACCACTGTTTAAATGGTAGTAATAATCATATCTCTTCCAGATGAAATCAGAAATGAAACATATTATATGGAAAAGTAGTACTGGTTGATAATCCTAAATGTTAAGTTTACTTTTTTCCCCCTGACTTTAAAGTGCTTCTCCTTCATTCACCTACACAGGTCCAGACTGATGGCTTATTTTTTAAAAATTCTTTTAGTTACTTCATTGGTTCTAACAATACAAGCTCCATGAGTTTAGAAACTGAAGGACTCTACAAGGTAGAAAGGCAGGCTCTATTCAGATAGAGCATATTCACATGCTGACTTATCTATGACACATCAATATTGTGCCAAGAACATAAGCACAAAGAACGAATAAGAGGCAAATCCAAGATTTATCCCTGTTATTTATTCCACTACTGAGAATATCCATGAGGTAGGTGTGCCACACTATAAAGGCAGATTGAGCTGCAGTCCCAGAAATGCCCTATTGCTCCCCCATAGTCCACTAGCACCAGTTTCCTATGGACAGCTGTAGAGACACAAAAGTTTGCATGCTTCAGGGTATGGTCATCACTTTTTGGTTTGTACTGGAATCCTGGCAGCTTCTTTCAGATTCAGAGAGGCATAAACATTAAATATGAAAAAAAGAGCTCAGTTCTGTCCTTTGGGGTGAGTTAGATTGGTTTAATTTGTAATGGTTCAAAAGTTTTGAGAATCTCATATCCAGTAACTATTATACCTTTCTTCTCCCAGTTGCATCTTATTCTTCCCACCTGGGAAACAGGCATCTTCTCTTCTCTCCTCTTGGAACCTTAGTAATTCTTCCTCTGCCCATTACATTTATTTAATGCCTAATTTACTAGTTGTTTATTATGTTCCAGGCACTATATTAAGTATTTATGCAAATGAGATGACATACCGAAAAGCCTTAGAATAGTGCTTAGCACATGATAAATATTCAAAACATGTTATCTTATTTTCCCAAGAAATCTTGCAATGTTGATATTATTATTCCCCATTTTTCAGATGAAAAAGTTGAAATTCAGAAATCTTGCCTAGGTTCACACTGTTAGTAAGTGGCAAAATCACAAACTTTACAAATAATTTTCCATGCAGCATTTGTTTCCTTGTAATAAAAGCTGGCTGATAACAATTTGGCTCTTTGTGCATTGTATCTTGAAGTTGGCTTCTGACTTGCGTAGGACTTTTGGAGCAGAGAGCTCTGTTTCCCTTTGAGAATTCTGTACTTCTAGAGCTATGGCCATACCACCTCTGGGCATCCCCAGGGTTCCTGTTCATTGGCCAGTGCATATTTGACATCATCACAGCCTTCTCTGGGCCCAGCCCATCCTAGATGCCTTAACATGTTCTTTCATTTAATCCTCAAACTGCCTGGTGTGAGGAAAATGCTACTAATAAGGCTCACAGATGTTTGTGACTCAAGTCACTTCAGTAGAAAGTGACAGAGTCAGAATTCAAACCCAGGTCTGCCTGATTCCAGGGTCCTTGCTGCTTCTTCTGTTCCTCACTGCCAGGGAGTCTTCTTCAAGGCTCTTCTCAGCACTTTCAGATACAGGCTTGCCATGTCAGATTCCTTTAGACTTTGCCTTTAGAAAGGACTGACGTGGTGCAGTCGGAGGTCTTGTATTGAGGAGCTTCATGTGGGGAGTCATTTTCTTATGGCTCATGGACCTATGTAGATGAATAAAGGAAAGGGGTTACTCCATCCCCAAGTACTTCAAACATGCTGGAACAGGGTGAGGGCTACTCTGCTTATTTCTTTGACTACCTTCCTCAAAGGAACCAGTTTCCCTGCCTGCCTTGTGATTCTAGCATAGATAGATAGTGTTGGAGTTTGTCCTATTTTAAGTTTGTTTTGACTGCCTGCTTTGGACATATTTTCAGCTAAAGCTGTTAGGATTTCAGTACATTCAGGAACAGTGATGACGCTTCAGTCCTCAATTCTTCTCTGTCTCCTCAGTTAATAGAAAGGAAACGTAGCCCATCTGTCTGGACCTGTATAGAAGAATTTGGAGAAAAAAAAAATAACAGGTAAGAAATGTTCCCTTATTTTGTGAGCTTACCTTTATTCTGTCCCATTGTTCCTACAGCAAAAGGCTTGAGCAAACAAATTTGAGTTTTCCTTTTCCAATAAGGTATATTTTTAAAATCACTTAAAACTGTACTTCTCAAGCTGGGCATAGTGATGCACATCTGTAATCCCAGTTACTTGGGAGGAGCCTACAGCAGGAGAATCACAAGTTCAAGGCCAGCCTTAGCAACTTAGTGAGACCCTATCTCAAAATAAAATAAAAAGGGCTAGAAGCAGAGTGCAGGGGTGCATGCCTGTAATCCTAACACCCAGGAGGCTGAGGCAGGAGGATTGCAAGTTCAAAGCCAGCCTCAACAATTTAGTGAGGCTGTAAGCAACTGAGCAAGATCCTGTCTCAAAAATTAAAAGGGCTGGATGTGTAGTTTAGTAGTTAAGCACCCCTGGGTTCAATTCCTGGATCCAAAAAAAAAAAAAAAAAAAAGTGGTGGCAGGGACAGGATGGAGATGTGGCTTAGTGGTAGAACACTCCTGGGTTCAATCCCCGGTAACACAAAACAAACATATAAACAGGCAATGCATCTCAAACTTTGCCTCTGAGACAGTCTTTAAGGCAAAAAAAAAATTAGCCACTGGTACTCCCACAAAGGTATCAAAAAGGCAATGGATGAGGAGTCACTGCACTTTAGTTTATCTATAAAATCAGGGAATTGAGGGAGAAATGGAAATGATCTCTAGTGAAGTGTCCACTCTGAATCTACAAATGTTCATATGTTTGGTTCATGAAAAAGAGTCACTATAGTGTGTTCCAGCTTCCCCCTCACTCTCTCCATTGCACAGGCACAACCTTAATGAAGAAAATGATGCTCTAATACAGGAGGAAAAAAATAGGATAATCTAGACTGTGGCCTCATGTTTTAATTTCACTAGGGACAAATGCAAAGACCCAGTGTTAGTCGTAGAAGGGCTGCCTGTTGAGAGGAAATGCTGAGATGAAGGGCACAAAGCCATGTGTGAACTGCTAAAAAAGAGAGAAGCACTGAAGAATTGAGATCATTTTAAAGGAAAGATAATAACAAACTTTGCTACATTCTTCTGGCTACATATTGCTTTACAGTCATTCTTAAAGGCTAATGGAAAGGGAGCGTACTTTTACAGAACACACCAGCCACCTTACAGGTTTTAATGCCCCCACTCATGGCATAGAATGTTTAAAGCCCAAGTTTGGGAACAAACCTGTGTCATTCAAATTTTTTTGTCTTCATAACATCACAACTAGTGTTATAAATTGGGCAAGTTAATGAGACTGAAAAATATCTGGAAAAATGCACTAGGCAAGAATAAGCTATGTGGCTGCTGGCTTCACCAGTTAGTCACTTTGACCTTAGTCATGGAAGAGTATGAAATGTCACTCCTCTTTATTCCATCTACTGACATGATTAGGCTTGTAGCAGTTGGTGTTCTATACATTAAAATATGGTTCTTTTCCCTCCTCTTGCTTACTACAGGCTGTGTTCTTACATTAACTGTACAGAAAGAGGGAGCAGAATAAACAGACCCCATATACATTTCAACCCAGGCCCTGTGCCTTCTCTGTCTTGTGAATGGGGAAACATGGAAATAAGAAAATTGATATAACACACATACCACAAAAAAGCAACATTACAAAGCACAATTCAGGATATTCAGTGCATTCATAGGTTGTGCAACAATCGCCATTATCTGCCTGAACATTTCCATCACTCCAAAAGGAAACATGGTTCCAGTTAGCTATCACTTTCTCTTTCTTTCTCCCCACAGTCCCTGGCATTCACTACTTTCTGTCCTTCTGGATTTGCCTATACTGGACATTTCACATAGACAAGTTATATTGTAATGGCCTTTTATATCTGGCTTTCACATGGTTTATTGTTTCCTAGGTTCACCCTTGAAACAGTTATCAGTACTTTCTTTTTTTTTTTTTTTAGAGAGAGAGAGAGAGAGAGAGAATTTTTTAATATTTATTTTTTAGTTCTTGGCGGATACAACATCTTTGTTTGTATGTGGTGCTAAGGATCGAACCCGGGCCGCACGCATGCCAGGCGAGCGCACCACAGCTTGAGCCACAACCCCAGCCCAGTTATCAGTACTTTCTACAGCTGAATAATATCCCATTGTATAGATGTACCATTATATCAATTCATCTAAACATTAATTAATGGATATTTGGGATGTTTCTACTTTGAGGCTATTATGAATAATGCCAGTTTTTGTGTAGACACATGTTTTTAATTCTAGGGTGCATACCTAAGAAGGGAATTCTAGGGTGCATACCTAGGAAGGGAATTGGTGGGTCATGTGGTAACTATAGTTAACTTTTTTGAGGAATTCCCAGACTGTTTTCCACAGTGGCTTCACCATTTTACATTCCCAGCTACAAAGTATGAGGGTTCAAGTTTCTCTGTATTTTTGTCAACACTTGTTATTATCTGTCTTATTTTTATTTAAAGCCTTAGATTAAGGAACAATGTTTAACCAGTCTTTCTCTTCATAACATTATGAGTATAAAGTAGTATCTTGTGGTTTTAATTTGCATTTTCCTAATGACTTGAGAAACTGAGCATTCTCTTCATGAGCATGTTGGCCTTTACATATCTTATTTGAAGAGATGTTTATTCATGACTTTCCCCATTTTAAAATTGAGTTCTTTTTTTTTCAGAGTTATAGGAGTTCTTTATACATTTTGGGTATTCTGTGTATTATCAGCTATATGATCTATAAATATTTTATCCCCTTCTATAAGTTGTCATTTCACCTTCTTAATAGTGTCCTTCAAAGCATAAAAGTTTTAAATTTTGATACAATCTAATTTACCTAATTTTTCCATTGGTTATTTATACTTTTAGTGTCATATCTGAGAAACTTTTACCTAAAACAAGGTCGTGAGCATTTACTCCTATATTTTATCTTAAGAGCTTTTTGTTGTTGTTGTTGTTTGGGGGTACTGGGGATTGAGCTCAGGGGCACTCAACCACTAAACCACCTCCCAGCTCTATTTTGAATTTTTTTTTAGAGATAGGGTCTCACTGAATTGCTTAGCACCTCGCTTTTGCTGAGGCTGGCTTTGAACTCATGATCCTCCTGCTTCAGCCTCCTGAGCCATTGGGATTACAGGGTGCACCACCGCACTCAGCTGGGCTATTTTTTAAAGCTATCACTGAGCTAGAGAGTGAGGAATGGAAGAAATTCAGCTGTTTTTCTGGAATAAATGCTTCTTAATTTGCTGTAAGCCTTTGATTAAATTTCCAGAACACTGGAAAAAGTGATTTTGACCATTTTGCCATTTTGTTGTTGTTGTTGCCTTTGTGGAGGGATGTATTTTCAGATATCTTTACTCCACCAATTTTCACTGATGTCACCTATAAAAAGGTTTTAAATCTCTACAGTCTCAGTTCTGTGGGCTAATTATTTAATCATGGAAAATAATTAGGGAAAAGAAGTAAAAGTATAATTCTCATAAACTTTTCCAGATGAGCAGATGAAGTTTACCAAGGCATTTCTGAATTTAGTTCTCTCAAAGCTAAGGTTAAAGTAACGTCTGTCTTCCCCCCCCCCCCTTTTTTTTCTTTATATGGGCTTTGGGGTCAGAAATGAGTTCAAATTCCAGCTTTGCTTCTTACTAAGTTTGGTGGCCCTAGGACAAGTTATATAACTTCTCTGTGCCTCAGTTTCTTCATTTGTAAAATGGGGTAATGATAACATTTACCACATAAGCTTATTATGAGGATTAAATATGAAATGCTGATCATAGATGCCTGGCAGCCTAATAGATGTTAGCTGCAATAATTATTCTTAAAAACTACAAGTAAATAGCAGAAAGATCAATAGAGTAGAAGGGAGAGAACAGGGGGAAGGAGAAGAGGGGGAACAGGGAGTACTAGGGACCGAATTAGAGCAAATTATATTACATGCTTTTATAATTATGTTAAAATGATTCCTAAAATGTTATGAATAATTATAAAGAAACAACTAAAAAAATGTTCTAGCCAGGTTCAGTAAGACATTCCTATAAACTCCAGTAGCTCAGGAGTCTGAGGCAAGAGGATCACAAGTTCAAAGCCAGCCTTAGCAACTTAGTGAGGCTGTATCTCAAAACATAAAAAGGGCTAGAGATATGGCTCAGTGGTTAAGTTCCCCTGGGTACTATTTCTGGTGACCCCCCAAAAAAGTGTTCTGTAGGAATACACTAATGATTCTTGAGTTAAGCTAAAGTCAGATTTTCTTTTTCTTTTTTCCTAATTCTTTTGTCTTTTTGTTTTCTGTTTGCTTGCTTTAATGAATTGAAGAAATATCTTTCAGTATTTTAAAGTAAACATTTGCATAAAAAATAAATTTACACTGGGAGGCTGAGGCAAGAGGATTGCAAGTTTGAGGCAAGCTTCAACAGTTTCAAGGCCAGCCTGGGCAACTTATCAAGACCCTGTCTCAAAATAAAAAATAAGAAGAGCTGGGTATATAGCTCACTAGTAGAGTACCCCTAGTTCCATCCTGCATACAAAAAAAAAAAAAAAGTTCATTTCTGGTGTTGTGGCACATTCCTATAGTCCCAGCTACTCCAGAGGCTATGGCAGGAGAATCACTTGAGCCCAGGAGTTCAAGGCCACCCTGAGCAACATAGTGAGATCCCATCTCAAAAAGAAAGAATTTATTCATTTTATTTACATGTAAACATAATGTTATTTATTTATTCAACAAACATTTATTAATACCTAGAAAATTTGCGGCATATACCCGGCATAGGAATGACAATGATAGTAACATGAGATCCCTGCCCTCTCCCTGCCAGGAGACTGACAAGTCAGCAGGTGATCACATGCTATGGGAAAAGGCTCTGAAGTGATAGAAAAATACCAGTGACAGTAGGTGCTGGGAGCATGACTTCTACCAGTTCCATTGCTTAAAACTTTATCCTCTTTCTTTTGACTTCCAAGCCAAGAAATTGGTTCTATATTTTTTCTTAACTAAGTGAATTAGACCATGAAATGTTTTAAATTTCTAAAAATGAAAGACAAACACCTTGAACTATGGAAGGCACTAAAAATACTGTTTCCTATAGGGCAAGGGCTTCCTACTAGTATAGTTACTTCCAGGGTTTTTGACCTGAAAATTCTTTGCCATATTTTTTTCTTTGTGTTCACTTTTTTCCCCTCCTTTTTTCTTTTTCTTTCTCTTTTCCACTTTATCTTCTAGAGAGCTGGATAATTCCCAAATAAAAAAGTGCCTTATAAAATTCTAAGGGTGATTTATATATAAAGACAAAATATTTTTTAAACATATAAGTTCTTTATAAAAAAGTAGTCTCATGCATGTTGAAAATATAATTTTCAAATATAATATAATTGCATGTTTCAGAATTCTCAGTCGTAATCCTCTGACAACTGTTGAAGATTCATATCTTTTTAAATTGCCAGCATTAAAATATCTGTAAGTATTACAACAATTTTAAACTCAAGATATGATTTCTGCTCTTCTTGTTTACTTCATCAAAGGGTTAAGTATTTTGTATTAATACTAAAAAGTCATAATTTTAATTTTAATTAGTTACTGGAGAAAAATGTTATGGTAAAGAAGAGTTAAGGAAGGATATATCATGGGGCAAGACAGCCATCAGAAGAAGGCAGCCATATTAAAGAACACTTACAGATATGGAACATGTAAACACATGTAAGAATATATTATTTATCCCAGAAAGCAAAGAGGAATACATGTATATTATTTTTAAAAAAGAAAAAAAGAGGGGCTTGGGTTGTAGCTCAGTGGTAGAGCGCTTGCCTTGCATGCGTGAGGCACTGGGTTCAATCCTCGACACAACATAAAAATATATAAATTAAGATATTGTGTCCATCTACATCTAAAAAAAAGAAAGAAATGATGCAATATGAAAATAAGAAGTAAGATGATGGTTTAAAAAAGATGTAAGTTCTATTTTTCAATGCCAAGATCATTATTTGATGGTCCAAATAGTAAACTTACATATCTTCAATAAGAGCTTTATGGAATTATCTTCTATGCGAAATAAACTCTTAAGGCAGCTTGTTTTATGAGAAGCCAAAATAGAAGTTATCACATGTCCTTGAAATATTTTTTCAAGTATAGAATATTTATTGGGGTTCATCATGAATATCTTGGCTTTCTCTTTCAGAGACATGGGAACAACTCAAGTATCGCTTTCGACAATTGAGAATATCCTCCTGATGACTCTTGAATTGGAAAAACTGTAAGTTATTTTTTTTCTTAGATTTATTTTACTTGATTTTTTTAGGTCTCTTTTCATATCTTAAATTTAAAATTATTTTAATACATTATTTTCTTAACTTTATTGAGGTATAATTTTCATGTAATAAAATTCACACTGTAAGCGTACAGTTTGATGTATAGTAATATAGTTACCACCACCTGATGATATAGAACATTTGTCATCCCCAAAATAGCCCCTTACATCGCTTTGCATTCATCCACTCCTCCCACCACCAGCCCCTACAAACCACCAAATCTTTTTTTTTTTTTTT